AAAATATATATATATATATATATATATATATATTTAAAAAATATTATTATTTTGACTATTATTTTTAGGAGCGATTAAAAATATATATTTTTACAAACAAAAGAGTATTTTTTGGTTACTCAAAAAGAAAATAAAGGAAAAAAACGAAAAAAGAAAAAGTAAGATGCTAACGTGGCGAGCGCTGAAGCTTTACTCACAGTCTCTCACAGAAGCAAAAGTAGAACAGCATTTTGCCTTCATCAGTATTGAATTTCTATCTCCATCACTATGACCGACCATCAAAACCCTAAACCCACCGACAACCTCCCTCAACCGCCGTCAAAAAATCCACCTAAAATCTCCGGCGGATCCTCTAACGGCGGATTTTCCGGTGGCCATAACTACCCAAACCCGCCGGACCGTTCAAATCCGGACCCGGCAACACTGAGAGAGCAATGGAGGTTCGCTATTCGGCAGTACAGCAAATGGTATTCTCACGCTTGGGGTACTGCTATATTAGCTGGGCTATCTTTTTATGCGCTTGGTTGGATTATTAAAGGCTCCAATCCTTTGCCCTCTTTCAAGCGCGAAGACTTGGATACTAAAAATGTTTCTTCATCCGACAATGTTGGTGATGTTGTTGCTGATGTTACGGAGGTTAAGCGAAGTTGATGATGACGATAAAATTTGTTTTTAGGTTAGTCTTAAAAACTTGAATTTCTCGCAGTTTTTGTTCTTATTACCTGTTGTTGTAGGTCAAATTAACCTGATAGTGTAAAAAGTCTGTACACTGTCAGTGCACAGAATTATATTCACTGACAGTGTAAAAATTGTTTACATTCATTAGTGCAATCTAACTAGTTATAACAGGTTATTATTCTACTTCACGCACATAAGACTTGCTATGAAGAGTTACCTATTGTTGTAGGTCAAATTAACCTAATACGGTAAAAAATCTATACATTGTCGAAAACTCTTCTGATAACACCGTGTTACATGTGGAGATTATTGCAATATTATAACTTTGCTTAAGTTCGTATATTGTGCGCATTATATTAAATAACAATAACTGTTTACGAAAACTGAACTAGTTGGGTCGGTTATATGGGTTCGAAGTTCCGGGATAGCGACCTCAAGTGCTAATAGTTGGGTTTGAAATTTAATACTTGTTCATATTTAGTGGATTTCTTAACACATATAGGGTCTAGGCCAAAGCTACTGGGTTCGGCCAATCCCATATCTTACACTATGGATCCGCCCCTGACCTGGCTGCAACCCTCTTACTTTATCGAGAGTTTGGACTTGTAATGCTTTGGCGAACATAAGTGGAGTTGTGCGGTTAATGGTCCTTATTTGGGATAAGGAAGGTGCAGTGCCACTTTTTGTAAGTGCTTAGTTCTTGTGATGAAGGGATATTTGATACTGCTGAAGCTCACTTGTTATAATTTGAGGTTTTGTTGCTTATATGGATCCTAAACATGCTTGNGGGGGGGTTCTAGATTATCATTTGGTCCTCGAGGAATAGATAGAAGTTTGTGTGGAAATTCCAAAGGATTGTTTCCACGTTTTCTTATTTGTCTGAAAATATGTTATACATTGTAAATATGGCTTAACAACTTCAACTAGGCGCTTAGAACAAATTTTACCACAAAATAATGTCACCCTTATGCAACTCTCGTCCGAGATACTCGGGGGTCGTTTGGTTACAAAGGGGATAGACAAGGATATCCCATGGGATTAGCGATTCCATCTTATATATGGATAGTTAATCCTACCATTTTGGTATAAAATTTATCCCACCACTATCTAATACCCATAACCAAACATGGGATAAATAGAATCCATATTCTATCGATTCTATTCTCAGTAACCAAACGATCCCCCGGTGAATATCATTGATTCTGTAAGGGGATTTTGCAGTCTAGAACATCAGTGAATATCATATGCTAAAATCCACTCCATGATATGCTTATCCACTTACTGAACCATCTTATAGTTTCATTTCCTTTGGTTCAGCTAATATTGGAAATCTATCCATTTGTGATTTTCTTTTCACCTAGCTTAACCTGCTGAGAACAGAACGTAGCCCTCTTTGCTCTTTGTATATGTGAAGGAGCAAATGTAGTGTTCTGGATGCATTGCCTAATGCCTCTTGATTTTTCAGTTGGGCTGCGGCAAGCAACTAATAATGGCAAGAACCAAAAAGCATTTTATATGGAAACTTTTAACAAGATTTGTCTTGGCTCTCTCAGACAGAATTCCATTACAGCCTCTTGTAATGTTGTGTTACTTTAATCACTGTTTTTTGGGGTTGGATCATTTAGATAAGCAGCAGCGCATACTAATTCTACTAATCCCCTAAATGTTGATTTATATCTTGTTTGTGAAATATCCTTCAAAGTGCTAATGGTTTTAGTCCTGTTCTGACAACCTTGCCCTGGGCTACCTTTTTTTTTGGTCCACTACAAATTTCATGCTTTCCCCAAAGAGGTGTGATCTCATTACCACATGAGATAGTTAACATCACCATTTTTTGTCTGCAAATCTCTCCTAGCTACTGTCTCTCTGAATTGCTTTAGTTCTTTCCTCCACAGCTCTCTACTCTGGTTGCTCATATAGGGATGGCAAATGGGGCGGGGCGGGTTTAAAGCTATGCGGGGCAGTGCGGGTTTAAAGCTATGCGGTGCGGGTTGAGATTATTTTTTAAAAGACTGATGCGGTGCGGGGCAGATTGCGGGTTTACGCGGGTTTGCATAAGTTTTCTAGATTTGGCCTATTGTACAAGTTATCCAGTGAGGCAAACCTTAAAGACCAGTCTGTTTAAATATTTGATACTTCACAGAAACAAAAATAATCATATATAATTTTTATTTTCAAATACATATTTTAGTGAAATATTAATTAAGTTTGAAATTTGAAAAAAAGAAAAAGTTAGACATTTAAGGGAATATAAATTGTTGTTCAGACAAATATTTTTATGATTAAATTATTAACGTTTGTCACTCAAAAATCATCTAATGAAGGTTCGTTACACAAAAATCACTATTTTAATTTTTGTCAATTAAAATATCATACAACTAAATCCTGAATTTATATTATATTAAACTAAACTTCATTTTTGTTTCGGAACTAAAAGCATACAACATACTGGCAGCCAACCAGAATTGTAGAAGTTTGAAGCCTATTCCCACATTTGTTTTCAAATTCCAATACCATCGGCAAAGTGGCTCGCTCTTTTTCAATCCTCAATTCTAATTGAACAAATTCTTTTTAAAAAAAAAATAGAACAAATTCGGTACATGAGCAACAAAAGACCTTTTCATTTTTTGGTTGATGAAATTGAAAATCCAGCAAAAAATTAATTAGGAAAAACTAGGAAAATGAAAAAAAAATTAATTATGCGGCGCGGTAACAAGCACAGGAGTTATTTCTTTTTCTTGTCTTTTAAGTTGGGTGTTTAATGTGTTCGACTTGTCAATTTAAAATTAGAGTAGTTCTGATGAAGGGACCGAAAAAGAGTTAGCAAATTAAGAGCTCTCTTGATTCCTGTCTCCCAAAAGGAGTGGACTAGTAAACCCCCCCCTCCCCCAAAAAAAAAAAAAAAAGAGAAGAAAATGGACTATATAGAATGTCTTCAATTGACTAAGCTTGTAAAAGGCAGCCTTCTCTAGCCTACTTTGACCTCTCCTGAATCCTGATATGGCCAAGTTGTTGTTGAGCAGTTTTTGAGGGGTGTTGGTGACAAGCTGAAGCTGCAGTACTGGTAATAGGTTTTTGAAAGACTTGAACTGTATGCTAGCTTTTACCATGAATGTGTGTCTCAAAGTATGGTTCAAAGTTAATGATGGTTTTTGTTATTAAATCATTGTGATATTTTGTGAACAAGGATAAGCAGAAAAGGATAATGAAGAAAATTCATGAATCGAAGATTTATTTAATAGTGTATTCTGTCGTTACTTTACCATTCTCTTAAAATTTTGAAGGAGAGACAAGAAGATGGTGAATGAGCTTCCGCTGTTGGGATGATGCAACTCTATTTTTTTTCTTAGTTTTGTTCAGTTATTTATCCCAAGTAGGTTGTTGCACAAAAATTTGCTTATTGTTTCTCTGAGTATTTTGGTCTTTCGAATGGCACAGGTCTGTAGTGTCACTCTCTTTGATCAAATAAGGTACCCATGGACCACTGAAGTCTCTCTCTCCCCTCCTACCCTCCCCTCTGGATTCTTAAACTTCTGTTTCTGCAAGCTCTATGTAGATGGAAGCGCAATCGCCCCCAACTCGTGATTTGTAAATTCACACCACTTCCAGAAAAGAAACAAAACTGTATTAGGATGTGGTATACCAGACCAATATCTGCTGGTCACCTGCTCTGAGAGTCCAGGCAAGTCCCAAGTGTGTTTCTCTTTCAACCTTCGTATCCTGCAAAACGTATTCAACAATGAACCAAGAAAAGCAATAGTATGCTGAGATATTTCCGTTAAAAAGAGTTTTGATGTGTATTTCCTGTACAGTAGACATGCATATCAATAACACTCTTAATTTTTAGGATGTGGTATACCAGACCAATATCTGCTGGTCACCTGCTCTGAGAGTCCAGGCAAGTCCCAAGTGTGTTTCTTTTTCAACCTTTGTATCCTGCAAAATGTGTTAAACAATGAACCAAGAAAAGCAATAGTATGCTGAGATATTTCCGTTAAAAAGAGTTTTGATGCGTATTTCCTGTACAGTAGACATGCATATCAATAACACTCTTAATTTTGAGGAGTTGTCAGTTGACGTTTTGTTGTAGTAATAAAGTTGCCTTTACCATTTTCACAGCTGAAATATCAATAATGCCGATGTACACTTATGAAAAGACAAAACAAAGTTCTTAAGCAAAATTTACTTGCATCCCCTATTTCCCCACACTAAGGTTCTGGAATTCTTCTTTTGGGTAATATACAGTCGTAGACTGGGCATTGCTATACAATTTTTGTACAGGAAGCGGAAATTCTCAGCAGTCCTGCATATTCTGCAGTTCAAAATTATAGCTGCATTCTGAGAAATGTAGTAGTGAGTGGTTGATCCTTGCTCAACCTGAACAACATCCGCCCTTCTTAACAGCAGATACATCGTTCCCGATATTGATTGTTTGTCCTGCAGGCAGAGACGCTGGGTCGTCTCCTGCATCAAGAACCTTCTTGCTGACCACCCGGTAAATCTGAGTCAGCACTTCTGTGAAGGCGTTTTCAACGTTCAGTGCCTCAAGAGCAGATGTTTCCATGAAGAAGGTACGTTCCCTCTCGGCAAAACCCTTTGAGTCCTCAGTGGGAACAGCACGCAGGTGGCGTAGATCCGTCTTGTTCCCGACTAGCATGACGACGATGTTCTGGTCTGTATGATCTCTGAGCTCCTTGAGCCATCTTGCTACGTTCTCAAATGTTACATTGCGAGTAATATCATAAACAAGTAAAGCACCAACTGCTCCTCTATAATAAGCACTTGTGATGGCTCGGTACCTAGATTGATTGCCAAAGGGTGTTTAGAAACAATCTTCAGGCATTAATAGGTGATAAAAAAGGTAGCACATTCAAATATAGAATAAATCAAACGAAAGTGGACAAACGATTGATACTTTTGTGTTGGATCTTTCATCTTCTTTTCATTTCCTGGCCATTTCTGTTGGTGGGGAGTGATGTAAAATTGTTGGGAGTGTAACCCATACAATAAATTATATTTTTTAACATTTATGAAATGACCGCAAAATCATAATTTAAGGTATAGATTCAACATCAGATGTTGCTTTCAGAATATTCTGACATTTTTCTATATCAAATATCCTAATGTTAATTCTAGAAACCATTATATTTTCTCAAACATATCTTTCTCTGGAATGCATCAATGTGTCTTTCAGAAAAACTACCTTCCTTCCTTGTCACTCCCATCCTTAATAGTTGAGATTTCTACTATTGATGAATATGAAAAAAGAGTTGATAGGAAAATCTGGGAAATGGATTGAACCCTTGGTTTGGAAATATAAATAAGAAAATTAGTGCATGCAATAGTAGGAAATAGAGACTAGAGAAGAGATGGTGTTAAGTGTTCCATATTGGTTGATGAATATGTGGTCTCCAAATATGGTCTTCGTAACTCTTAAATTAGCTTTTGAGATTGAGTCAGGCTTAAAGTCCATTCTATTAACAAACTAACAGGGTGTGGTGAAAGGGATGAAAAAGCATAGGTACCTTTCTTGGCCGGCGGTGTCCCAAATCTGTGCTTTGATAATCTTGTCATCGACATGAATGGTTCGGGTGGCAAACTCGACACCAATGGTGGACTTAGATTGTTGGCTGAATTCGTTCTTAGTAAAGCGAGAAAGCAAGTTGGATTTGCCAACACCAGAATCCCCTATGAGTACCACTTTGAACAGGTAATCGTAATCCTCCTCTGATCTGTATGTTCCCATTTCCTTTTTTCTTGTACCTACGTACTGCTCTGTAACATAAGATCAGTTGCCGGTTGTCTATCTTCCAATGGCGTTGGCTTTCTTCTTTTGGACTAGGGATGAGAGAAAGAGAGAGGGAAGAAGATGAGCATTGTTCATTGATTAATTTTACCTTCTAATGAAGAAACCTCTTTACCTGCGTTTATTTCGGTAGGTTGGTGTGGGAATGAGAAGCTGAGAAACAAAGGGTAGACAGGACAGTTTTTGAGTTGGGACATCATATTTTTTAAGTTGGGACATCATATTTTCTTCTTTATAATAAAAAGAAAACTTGAATTAAGAGAAATCACAATGCAATGTCCTCTCGGAAGCATCTATAAAAAATTGCATGTTGAACTTTTGGTATTGTATCATCTATATATCTCTTAGGTGTAGAGTATAAATATATCATTAAGGGTTCATTTGGTAGGATGTATTAGGAAAAATAATATATGTATTAGATTTAATATTATTAATTCCTTAGTTGGTAGTGTTTTTCAATTGATGTATAACTAATACTTGTGTTTGTTATACACCCAATTCAGTACTATTTTTAGATATAGCAAATCATGGCATGATCAATACTATGATTTTTAATACATGGATAAGCATGTATAAAGATAGAACTGCCATTTCAAAATCTTTTCAAATCCCCTTCAACGTTTTTGGAGGGTATTTTGTATACAAATAATTCAAATTTTTTTTTATGCAATGCATATTATTTTTAATTCACCACACCAAACAGTCAATAAGAAATAATTTTAGAATTAATTTTAGCATTACTAATACATATTATTCAATACTATTCTTACGCACATTTCCAAACAACATTGTCGTTTGGTTCATAATTTGGTATCTTAGGATTATAATAGTATCACCTTCTATATGCGATAGATAATATTAAAATTTTAATATAAAACAGCTAATATCAATAACCTGATGGATAAAATGAAATTTCAAATTTAATATTGAAATTAGTCCTAAATTCCTAATCCTAGTAACCAGCGACCCCTGTCCCCATGCATGCGTCCCCAGGCGGCTCAAAACGAAAGTTTGTAGTAGGTTTTATGTCATTGACACAAAAAAAAAAGAGTTAAAATTATAAAATAATTTGTATATAAATATGCGTACATATAATATATTCACACGCACATGTACTCTGGTTTTACTTCCATATATCCTACTCATAACTTTTCCCTTATAAAAGAATTAAGTGGGATGGTTATTTTGTAGACATTACACGAAACAATTTACATTGTTTAAACTTCAATATTAATTTATGATTGCATTTTTCAGAAAATAAAAAGATTTTCTAAAAATATTATGATATAAAAGATTAAAATAATAATGAAAAGCTTGATACAATTTACGAAGCGATGTCTGCAAGAAAAGAAGACTTTAAACTTGTATTAAAGTCATAGAAGTTTATGTACTTATAAATCATTTCATTAAAAACAAAATAGAACGTTAAAAGTAAATTGTTTTAAACGAGGAAATATGACAGTTTTTAAGCCAAAAAAAAAAAGAAGAAAAAACGCAGTGGGAGCCGGTTCTAACAAAGGTTATAAAGGTCATTCTGCCTAGTTTGAAACTGTTGTGTTTGACTAGCTGCATTTCATTTTCTTTTCTAATAAACGAAGAAAAAGTAAAGAAGTAATTTTTTTTTTTAAAGTAGTACTCCATCCATTTCAATTTAAATGATATATTTTCTTTATCGAGAGTTAAAATGTGTAAGAAAAACTACAGTTTATAGTATTTTTCGTATAATTTTTGAATATCTAAATTTTAATTTAAAATATTGAGATGAACTACTCTAGTTTAGTTTTAAAGTTTGGTCAAACTAATTTGGACAAGGATCCAATTTCTGCTTGGTTTAGGAATAGCGCTAAGGAAATCTTTTTTTTGCCACTCTTTTTGGTCACAATGGCCCAAATGGGGTTATTAATGTAAAATCACATCCAAATTAGGGTTTCTGCGTTAATTTTATACCAAAAATGCCCTTCCCGTTAGGTTTTGAATTTCTATACTTGATTCTCTCTCATCCATTGAATGCTTATCTTCCCCATATATGGAAAATATCAAGCATGCAAACCCTCTTTCCCATAAACGTATGTTTTCATCTTTATTTTTTTTAGTATACGCGTATACGTTTCGAATTTATTCATTAATATACATATACTTGATTATGTATTTCGTATATCTTTCGTATAATAAGGTCTTCAAAGTCCTAATATTTAATCAACCCTAGATGACCGAAAACAAAACCCTAAGGTATATTTTATCCCTCTTCAAAGCCCTAATAGTTAAACAAACCTAATACTTGATTGTTTTTTCATCTCTTACTCACCTATGTTCTTCTAAGTGTGAGTGGATAGGTATTTCTACCACACTAATTTTTATACATAAATTTATAGTCTGACTCGAAGTTATAGATTCAACTGAACCTGTCATTAGAATACTACATTTACCCCTGTGCGTATCGTTTCGTGTTTGACCGAACACAAGATATTCATTTATAGGGGTACTTATTTAGAACCGAAGAAAATATTTCGATAAAGATATTATTGTATAAGTTTTCTAATTAGTGGAGTAAATCTGAAAAAATCATAATATGAGTCTTTTGACATATTTGAGTTTGTATATTTCCATATGGTATATATGACATTGTCATTATGATCACAAAGTGGCTAAGTGCGCGAACTCACACAAGTAGGATCGATGTCATATTTTTTTGTAAAAAAAATATGTTCTTCCAGTATTTGAAAAAAAGATTCTTAATTAGCCTAATAATTTAACCACTGAAATTACTTACATTCTAGTTAGCCTAAATAATCCTACATTTTAGTTAGCCTAAAGAATTCTGTCAGTGAACGAACAACCTATTACTGGTGCGACTATCTGGTTTGGTTTGAATAGAGTTGTTGTCGAAACTAATGGTGTTAGTTGAATTGTGTTAACTATTTCGGTTACCAAAATTGTATTGATAACTACAATTTTTAAATCCCCATGTAGATATTGAATCCTATTTACTAACAAAACTATTCACATGCCAACCATTTAACTTCTCAATGAAGCATTTACCCATCTTATTTACTCTTCCTAACTCTTTCGAATTCAAGATTGTTTTAGTCTTTTGAAATGATATAAAAAATGAAAAAAAAGATACAATTATAACAAAAAACACACGAGAGCTGGATGAAGATAGAAATTTGATATCATTCATAGTTCAATAGAAAATAAAAGTCAATATGGTAGCCCTGTTCCATATAGTAATAATATATATAAAGCCAATATGGCCTGCTGCGACGCACAACTCGATCCCATAAATATTCTCACAATGGATGAACATGACTGAGTGTGAAATGTACATTTTTAAAATAATTAATTCAATAACAACACGACCCCATGGGTCCTAAAATATCGGCACGTAGCCTAAACATGATCTTTAATAAGAGGCTCAGCTCAATTTCTCTAACACGTGGAAAATGTTCAGATAATAACATGATTATTTAATTTTACAACTTCACAAGATTTATTCAAGTCACAATTTCTACGGTGCACGTCCACACGCTCATCAGCTATTGTGTGCGTCACATCCGAACAATTTATATAGCACCAAATTCGGGGATTCATACCATCAGAACCAAGTTAGAAATGTTACTTACCTCAAACCGTATAATTTCTTACGCCGTTATGCCTTTACCTCGCGAATCGGCCTCCAAACGCCTCGAATCTGGTCATAAATAATTCGATTCAGTCAATACAAATTATAAGAATTAATTCCATAAGAAAATACAAATTTTCCATCAAAAATCTGAAATTTCACTAAAACATCGCACGTGGGGCCCATGTCTCGGAACCCCACAAAAGTTACAAAATATGAACGCCCATTCAACCACGAGTCCAACCATACAAATTTTACTCAAATCCGACATCAACTCGACCCTCAAATCTTCAAATTTAACCAGGAGGGTTTCTAAAATTTTCCAACTTAATTCACCAATTAAATGTTAAAAACTACCACAGATTCGGGTACTTTAACCAAAATTGAGTTAAGAACACTTACCCCGTTGTTTTCCTTGAAAATCTCACAAACATCGCCTCTTTCCGAGCTCAAATCTGTCAAAAATGGAAAATGGGTCAGAACTTAAACATTCTGTCCAGCGATTCCTTCTTCGCGAACGCGGCCACTGCCTCGCGTTCGCGAAGCACAATTTTGTGCTGCCCACAGTTTCTTCTTCGCGAACGTGAAGGTCTTCTCGCGAATGCGATGACAAAAATCCCAGCCTTCGCGAACGCGGAACCTCCTTCGCGAATGCGTAGGCCAACTCCCTCTTTTTCTTCGCGAACGCGACCGCCCTCACGCGTTCGCGATGCACAATCTGCCCAGCTCTTCGTGAACGCAGCTTCCCCTTCGCGAATGCGAAGAGAAAATATTGCCTGCCTCCATTCCCCCTTCGCGAACTCGAAGAAGGATACCAGACAGTGCATCCAAAAAATTTCAGCAGTTGTTTAAGTCCCAATTTCGATCCGTCAACCATCCGAAACTCACCTGAGGCCCTCGAGACCTCAACCAAATATACCAACAAGTCCTAAAATATCATACGAACTTAGTCGAAACCTCAAATCACATCGAACAACGCTAAAATCACAAATCACACCCCAATTCAAGCTTAACGAAAACTAACGAATTCCAACTTCTACATTCGACGCCGAAACCTATCAATTCAATTCCGATTGACCTCAAATTTTGCACACAAGTCATAAATGACATAACGGAGCTATAAAAATTTTCAAAAATGGATTCCGACTCCGATATCAAAAAGTCAACTCCCTGGTCAAACTTCCAAACTTAAATTTCTATTTTAGCCATTTCAAGCCTGATTTAGCTACGAGCTTCCAAAAAATTTTTCGGATACGTTCCTAAGTCCGAAATCACCATACGGAGCTATTGGAATCATCAAAACTTTATTCTGAGGTCGTTTACACATAAGTCGACATCCGGTCACTATTTTAACTTAAGCTTTAAACCTTGGAACTAAGTGTTCCAATTCATTCCAAAACCTCACCGGACCTGAACCAATCA